GGCGGTTGGGGGAATGGTGCATCATAACAATAGAAGCTTAATTGTCGTGTGAAGCGTCGCCTCTCATTCATTCGTGTCTATCTGTTGAGTGAGCTTTGTAAGTAAGACAAAGAGTGGGTGGTGTGTTTTCGCCAGGCAGCCAGCCTTCCAGCCAGCCAGCCAGCCAGCCAGCTAGATGGAGGCATTAGATGGATGGATGGATTTAGTCGCCCTCTCGGTCGCTCGCCCGACAAAAAGATAACGGATGGATCAATGGATGGATGGATGGACGGATGGATGAGTCCTCGATGAGTGGCTGAATGGATGGCCCTTTATACAGCAGGGATGCATTGGATTGTCACTTGCGTGCTCTCACTTTCTCTCCCGTCCGTCCGTCCGTCCGTCCGTCGTATGTGCGTACGTACTTGCATACGCTGATTGCATACGTTCTGTAGCCGGTAGGGTTTTGTGACCGCAGGCGGCCAGGCCGTGCGCGGTGTGGGTGTGGCGCGGTGCGGTGTGTTTCACCCCCTCCCTCCCCCGACGGGACAACACTCGGACACTGTGTGTGGGGGCGGGCATCCGATTTTCCTTGTCTGTGCACAAAACATAAACATAACCATAAGCATAAGCATAAGCATAACGATAACCATGTCTATCACCAGACATTCCTGAGTAGCAAAGATAGCTATTTTTGTGTACGGGCCGAGAGACAGACCACTTTCTGTATGTGTGTATGTGTTTAAGCGGAGGGGTCCTCGAGTGCGTGCTATTTGTGTTTGTGCATGCACTAAGCAATGGCTACTCTCGAGATCTTGTGTGTATGTGTGTGTACGTGTGTGTCCTTCCAGCTAGATAAATCGATAGCCGTCCGTGTGTGGTGTGGTGTGGTGTGTGCAGGCGGCTCGCTTACTCTCTCTCTCTCTCCTTCCCACGAATGGTCCCATTAAGGCTGACAGTAGTTCTCCACCATACCTGCCTATGCATCCAATGGATGGCATCTGATTCCCTCCCGTCTGATTGCGTACACGCGTGACGGTGGCCTAGCTAGCTGACTCCTGGATCAATGACACACATGACACCCACGGCATGCCATGGCCCTCCCCTGCCTCTTTTGGCGCATTTTTGTCTTCGTGTGCGTGTGTCATCCGATGTCTGTAGGAAAGGGGCTGTGTGGTGTGTTGCGATGCGTCCACGTCCATGTGTGTGAATGAATGCGATGCGCTTTTTGGCTGCTTGGCTTGCATGTGTGTGCGGGAACCAACGGACGGACGGATGGGTGCCGATGTTTGTTGTGTTGTGTGTGTGGGAGGAAGGAAGTGTCCGTCCGTCCGTCCGTCCGTGCGGCCCGGTGTGTGTGTGCGTGTGTAGATGGTGCGTGTCCATGTGTACCAACAGTACCAATTAGAGCCTCAATTTAGACATTGTAAGTCGCCGCTCATCCGCAGAGTCATTCACTCCATGAGCTCCTTTCCCCCTGTCTCCCCTTCAAGCGCTCGGGCACACAGCTTTTGCGTCGATTTTGAGCCCCCTGTGAGCCAGGCCTTGCGGCTCGTAGTCAGGGGCGATGCAGGCGTCACCCTCCATCTTGCCCTCATCAGGAAGTGGCACCAGTGTAAAGCCGCTCTTGCCGAGCCTGTCCGCTGGAGCGTTGCAGATGTAGAAGGTGCATGTGTCTCCGCCACTGCCCAGCTTGATGCACAGCCCACCGAACTTGGCAGCGAAAAGGGAGACATTCTCAGTGACGTCGACCCACCGGCCAGATTTGCTCCGCGAGTAGACGTGCTGGCAAACACCTGAATGCAGAGAGGGTCCCGCAGCTGATTGTGCACGACGGTCGCCCTGTTTCAGTGCGGCCTACTTGCTTCGGTTGCTTCGGCTGCGAGGCCCCTGAAGTGGACGAGCCTGGATGAGTTAGCTGAGACGGATAGCGTGGCCAGGGTGGCCAAACGGATGAACAACACTCGGAACATTGCAGCGAATATGGGGGATGCAGTGAATCCGTGGAGACTGGGGGCCTTGAATTCCTTGCCTTTTGACACTGGTTGCACGACGATCCTTGCGGTTCGTCCATCAGTGTTCAATCTCGACTCTCCTCACAAATGAGTGCGCAGACCTAGCCTGCCGACTTTCTGCCCGACGATACGCCCTGCCCGCCCCTTCGCGAGGAGCTACTACCCTTCCTTCCCCCTCCACATGGTCGAGACGGCTCGGCGTAGCTGTGCATATAGGGAATCAGCCATGAAGGCAGCCGTGGCTTCGCACATTCTCGTATCGGGGGGATCATTGGATCCGCTGGCTGCAACTCCACCAGACCAGCGCCAGGGGCATACGCATCGACAGAGGACGAAGATCGCACCTGAGACACACACACCCAGGGTAGCGCACATTGGCTCCTCGGTGCTTGTTGATGAGAGAGGATAATGCTCGCTGCACCAGGATGCTGTCTCTTTTCTTTGTGGCTGTCTTGTCTCTGGTCTCATCTACACTGACATAGCCGAAGGCTGCCTCAGAGGTCGCAGGGACGGCAACAGACAATGGTGCAGACGTTCCAACTCCACGAAAAGGGGGCGGGCGGACGAAAGCCGAAGAAGGGACACCGGGCCCGGCCGCATGTGCACTCGAGACCGTCCTTCCGCTCTCTGTCAGCCGCTGCCCGCGACTGAGTCTGGTCGACGAGGGAAGAGACGAGTGCGTCAGCTGCGCTAAAAGGAGATCCCAGCTCGTGTCGGGGGCTGCGAACGGGGCACTCGGAAATGACTCTCGCCTCAGCATCCGCGAAACATGCCCCGCCGTGGACGGCCTGCCACCGGCGGGCAGACGAGCAGATGCCGTCCCTCTGTGTGTCCTATCGTCCGTTGACAGATGTGGTGGCGGGAGTGCCCTGGTGACCGTGTAGCGGAATGCTGGCCTGGGTGTCGGGGAGGGAGGGGGTGAGGGGGAGGGGGACGCTGTATTGGATGAAGGGACGATGGGAAGGTACTTGGATAGACTCTGGCGGACGTCTTGAAACAGGGGCACCCACTCCTGACAAGAGGCAGAGAGGCAATCAGTGGTTCGGGTAGTCGTGTCTCCCACCTCATCGACGAGCAAAGGCACTGGCCCCTCTGCTCTCCCTCTGTCGAGCTCGGCTGTATGGCTGTCCTTTTCTCGCGAATAATGTGTTGGGGCAGATGCAGGAGGAGAGCCCAATCCCGTCTCTGCATACGAGTTCAGCATTACATAGAGAGTCTCACATCAACGACCGGCATGAATGGTCATTCATCGCACGAACCTTTTCCACTGAGAAGCATCTTGTAGAAGGGACTGGTGTCCGCTACAACACCCTCATCACCCGCATAATCGTCAAGGTACCTCACTGCAGCACCACCCCCACCAAGTTGAGCCAGACATCTCGTTTTAAGCATCACAATGTCTCCCTCAAGCGCCTTCACGCCAGCCTCAATCTCCCCCTCCTTCCCTGCCCTCCGCTTGACGCATCCCGGCACCTGCTGTGCATCACATTCGTCCATCCACCGCTTCGCCAGCTTCTGCAGATGGCCGTGCGCCTGCGTGGCGTCCACGAGAGCCAGTTCACTCAGGCCCAGACAGAGGAAGGCCTCACACCTGAGCAGCCACAGCTCCATCAGGAACGCTTCTTCGTTCGCGAGCTCCTGGCCGTCTGCGGCTGCTGATGAGTGCTGCTGAATCAGCAGGGTAGAGACCACATTTGCCGTGACGGCGGGGTCGCTCTGCAGAGTCTGTCGGGCACTCTCCAGCAGAGGACCGCGTGACAAGGGGACACCACTGCCGTCATGACTGGTACCCGACCCATCTGAATGCGTCTGTGCGTCCACAGCATCCGCCATTTGATTATTGAAGACTGCGAGATCGAGTCTCCTGGCAGACGGGGGGGCTTGGTGGGGGTTACCGTCTCCGAGTCCGCTTGGAGCGAAAAACGAGTTCGTCGACGGTGATCACGATGGATAGTAACGACGAGTCACAGGCCCCGGCAGCACAAGAAGCCACAAGCAACGATGCGGACCACATCAGATTCTCCCCAGATGTTGAGGCAGCTGACGACGCAAAGGACAACGAGCATTCTGAAGCACCTGCCCTCAAGGCGGATGCGAGACGGGTAACCGTCAAGATCACCGAGCCGGAGGAGAGACAGAAAAGAGATGACAACATCAAGAGCCCGGGGGGAGAGGTGAGAAGACACGCCATCGTGCGGCATGCGTCAGACCCCAATACCTTCGTGGTGTCCCATCCACGCCTGGCGAACATCATCTCTCACGCTACAGACAGTCCGACAGCTCAGTTCGAGGCCTGGGTGCTTCATTTCTTCCTGCCCACGAACTGGGTGGCGACGACGTGCAACGTGGCGTTGTTCCATCTGTTGACATTCGGGTTTATTTTTCTGGTCATGAACATCCCTCTGGGCCACACTGACGGCCATGGCATCGAGGAGCACTGGGGATTCATCATCTACAGCATGATCTGGTGCGTCAGCGCCTGCCTGCATGGAATTGGATGGGGTGTCAATTTTGTCTGTCTGCCTGTCTGTCTGTCTGTCTGTCTGTGGGCAGGGCGTATTTCGCCGGAGCCTTTCCCCTGCAATTTCTCCCGGTTGGCCGAGGAAACACAGCCACCAGCATCATGCATACTCGTGTTGTGCCTTTCTCAGCGCGCGCTTGGCTTTCGCATCTTCGAGCCAATGTGGTTTTTGCTGATGCCCATTCTGGTCGGCATCGCCATGACTGTGGCCGTGTGGGTCAACCAAGGCCCGTTCCCTTACTCGCCGTCGGTGATTGGTACGAATTGATATCGCATGCTCAAAGCGGACACAGGAGGCGCATGTATTGCTCTCGGTAAATGACTTGGCGCCTATTCAGGTTTGCCGTGTTACGTGGTGACGTGTTTCATTGTGGTGCTGAATGTGCCGGTGTCGTGGCGCGAGCAGGACGAGGCGTACCGCGACCAAATTGTCTATGCTATACTGTACCTTTCCCTCCCCCCATGTACGTGAGACATGCGCAAAGACCCGCCATATTGCGGAAAAGGCTTCGTGTTCTCCCCCGGTGTCCGTGTCTTAGGTCTGTGCATATTTCTCACGCTCCTGTGCTGGCTCTTTTTCACATCTCCTGACTGGGCCAAGGTACCCATGCAGAAGGAGAAAGCGCCAGGCGCACATGATCACATTGCGTGTGCCTTCAGGTTCTTATCGGGGCTATGATGCCGCTGGTCAGGAAGAACCTGAAGCCGCATGATCACATTGCGTGTGCCTTCAGGTCAGCGACTTTTACCTCATCGTGGGTCACAACTTCTTCCATCATCTGAACGGCTCATGGATGCCGCCATTTCTTGCCGTACGTAGCGAAGAAAGAGTAGACAAAAACGTGCACATGTTGTGTCTCTTGCCTTGCAGCTAATCCCTTTCATGTGCACACTGACTGAGGTACAGCAAGGTGTTCATACATACCGTCAGTACTTCATCTGTGACCATTTACCTGTGTGCAGTGCATCATCTTCCGCTCCCATGTGGTCATGTACGTGCTGCTGATCATCGTCTGCTCTTCCATCCTCTTCGAGATCCTCCTGCCCACACTGGAGATGGACAAGATGCTCTGGGCCTCGTTTCGGGTCATTTTCTCCGAGCTGGAGCGAATGCAGCTCAAGGGCAGAGGTTCCAAAGAGGACGAATCGGCCATCACCAAGCGCCTCAAACAAGACCTCAAAGAGGAGAAAAGAGCGTACAAGAAGCGATTCAGCAACTTCAGTATCAGCCGCAGACGCAGAGGTGCATAACGCGCGGCGCGATCCACCCTTACTGGGGTTGCTTGTTTTGTTTCGGTTCAGAAGGAGAGGATGGCTTGCCGGAGACCACACCGACCTCTCCGTATAGCCCCGCGCCCGGCCTGTTCATCGACGGGCTGATCCCCAGCCAGAAGGCGATCTCCCCCGAGGTCGCCGCCCTGTCTCTCCACCTCTCCGACAAAACGCCAACACAAATCATGAGCAATCCGGAGAGCCCTGTCAGCGCCATGGCGGAGGCCCCGAGATACTCTCAGACGGAGCCTGACCTCAAGGATGTGATGGGCAAAGTAGCTGACACGCTGCCCAAGAGGGCTGCATGGCGAGCCTTTTTCAAGAAGAAGAAAAAGGAGGACGACGGCCCGAAACACAAGAAGATGGACCGCGCCCATGGATTTCTGGGCAGAGGCTTCCTGCTGACGCCCGTGAGCCACCTGGACGAGAACGAGATGGTGGAGGAGCTGATGCAGGATGCCAGTGACAGGTTCTCTGAGCGCTCCACGAACGTGGAGCGCCTCAACGTGCTGCATCTATCGGAGAGCCCCCAGCTCAAATCAGCACTCAAGGTCAGATCGCCAGTGGCGGAGAAAGAGAAAGAGACGAAGGCCGAGACCGCCGCACAGGAGCCGTCAGCTGCCATGGCTCAGGCGGCTGCCGCCACCGAGAAGGAGAAGGCTAAAGAAGAGCTGCACCAATCGACCAGGACGGTGGGTTCGACGGTCGGCCGCCGCGCCACGTATGTCTCGTCCCACCGCCGGAGCAGCCGACAGGTGGCCGTGCCCTCCAACGCCCTCGACATCATCTCGGCCGCCAGCCTCATCTCGCAGCGCAACGTCGAAAAGCAGACCCTCGAAGCGACAGATTTTCTCGACTTGAACCTCCAGGAAGACGACAGCGAGAACGAAGAGCTCCTCGAGAGTGAGGCGGTGACGCCGGCGAAGGAGTTGCGGTTCGCTGCTGGGGCGAGTGAGCGGGCGCGGCGAGGCAGCCGGCTGAGTCTCATGCTGGCCACCGCGGGGAGGTCGTTGCGCAACTCTGTCCGGAATGCACCGGTGTTCGGCAAGCGCAAGAGAGTGGTGCAGGACGTGTACGAGGGATTCATCAGGTGAGCCCTCATGTCTCTGTCTGTGCTGTGCTGTGCCGAATCCACACACGCGTATGGCTGTATGTGCCCGTCGGTCAGGATGAAGCGCAAGGCGGTCCGTCCGGAGGACGAGATTCAGAACAGGACGATCCTGCAGCTGTGTCTCGTGCCGGAGATGATCACGCACCTTGTCAACATGCTCGCCACGTCATTCCGGGTTTCTACAGCCAACGCGTATTCGCATTCTGTTGCACACGTGTGTCCGATCATCGATCGGTTAGTGCGTGAATCACATGATGATGCTGATCGCCATGCGGTATTCCGTCAACTACGACCACTTTGACACCATCGTCGTCAGCGACTACATCCTTCACAAGGCACGCAGAGAGAGAGACAGAGAGAGAGAGAGAGAGAGAGAGAGACGACAAGGCATGTTCCTTGCTCTTGCTCTCCCGTCAGGATTTGCTTACGATATCCTGCAAGTTCGTGCTGGTGACGTTGGCGTACTGGTCTTGCTGATTGCCGGCAGGAGATGGGGCAACAGACCCGTCCAGCTCATTGCACGCGTCAGTGACGTGATCTCAGACAGACAGACAGACAGACAGACGGACAGACAGACAGACACAAACGCGGAGACACGTGTGTCTGTGTTTGTTTCTGTGTCTGCCTACAGGACAATTCGGGCCGTCTGCACATCTACTTTCACATGATGGCCTTCTCGATCATTTTCATGACCTTTTTGTTGATTCCACATAACCACGTGAGTGAACCAATGCACCAATCTGGCTCTGTCTGTCTGTCTAGGTCTGTCTGTGTGTGTGTGTGTGCGTGTGTGCTGTAGATGGTGGTGCACCAGATGGAGATCGGTCTGTCCAAGGTTGCCAAGAAAGTCAAGAAGAGCTTCCTCTCCGGGCTGGTCAAAACTCAAGAAAACACCTACTAGAGCGTGTCACTTCGCTGCATACACACACATATACAGGCAGCTGAAGGACAACTGAGGGATGTGTGTCTTTAAAGGAAAAGGTCAATTTTGCTTGATTGGGGTCTGTGTGTGTTGGTTCTTTGCTTTAGCGCATAAGACATTGACGTAAGTGTGGGTGGTACGTATGGGAACAAAGGGGATCGGTTCATCATACACACCACCAGAAAGTCCGCACGAGAAGCGTTCACGCATCATGCATCCCAATTGATGCATGTAAAAATCAGGAGTAGAGGCCAGCTGTGTCTGCATGCCTGGGGGAAAGTCGGGTGGAGTGTCATGCACAAACAGTCATCACCAAAACGGCGCTCCGCCGCAATCACGGGGAAACGCACAGAACCAGCCAGCGAGAAGCATCCATATCCAACGGGGGATGCAGTGCAATTGATAAATGAATAATGAATGCGCACAGAGCCAGCTGTACGTATGTCTGTGAGGGGAGGGATCGAGGGGCGGAGGGAAGAAGGGAAGAAGGGAAGGAGGGGTCAGGGTGGCTAGCGATTAAGTCTGTACACACATTTGAGCACACCAGCTGACGTCACCACCACTACCCCACTCTCCTCAACTAACATACACATGGACACACTGTTACTTAGCTGTGTGTGTGCCGGTCATGCACCGATACCTCAGCTGTCTATCGGTCAAAGACCATGGCTGAGATGACGGGCCCGAGAACCACACGCACCAGCCGAGTCATCTCAGCCACCAGATGGCGATCCATGCTACGAGGGGATGGCTAGCGTCTGTCAGTACGAGATGACGCATAAGACAGCTGAATCGTATGGTGCTCGTGCATCCCTCGACTGGTGTGTGCGGCGACTGTATCAGCATCCTGTCCAGCCGGCTGTGGTCGACACGCCTGAGCCGTGAAGACACATACATAGCACACGCTCTTGTGTCATGACGATTGATGCTTAAACAGAGTGATGCCGCCTCATCTGTCGAGTACACGGCGAATACTGTTGGTGGTCGCGTGAGTCGTCTTATTGAAGTGGCCGAAGAGGGTCCTCTTGATGAACGACGACACAGACGCGAAGTCGGCGGCAGCCCGCAGCCTCCAGCCCTCGGCGTGGGAATATTCGATGCGGCTGCGGACAGGTGGGTCGTGCTGCTGTCGGTGCCGCTGGTAGTAGTGGCCAGCACGCGGGTCGATCTCGATCTCGAAGCCGTCCTCGTCCCTGATGGCCCGCAGTGTCTTCCCGTGGTCGAACAGCTGAAAGGTCACGCCGTTGGTGCCGAAGTCGATGTGGCGGCCGACCATCATCCGATGAGCCAACACACGCGGGGTGGCCAGATACACCTGCAGACACACAACACATGAACACATTCACACACCGATTCGTAGACATTTTCTCTTCTCCCTCCATCTCTCCCAGTTGGCTTGCCGTCTTGTTTAGAAACTTGTGCAGATCGGTTGCAGTGAGCCTCACAGGCAGCTGACAGTAGCCACACTGCGCCGCCAGCGCAATCGCCTCCCTCATCTCCTCCCAGCCGCCCGCCTCCGTCACGCACACCGCCGCCAGCAGGTCAGCCACACCCATCTGCTGATCGTCGAACACCAGCAGCTGCACTGCCTGCCCGTTGACCACCGGTCGCAGCCCCGCCTCTGTGCTGAGCGAATGATTGAGCCGCTGCCGCAGCTGAGCCGCTCTGAAGAGCTCTCTCAGCCATCTGCAAACTGCCCTCAGCCGCAGTATGTCAGTGAGGCTGAGCAAAAAGTAGGTGCGCCGACCGACGAAGATGTGCGTGAAGGGATGCTGATGTGTGTGCTGCATGGACGGCCCCTCGGCGTGAGCATAAGAAGGCGGAGATCTGCTCCTCGCCTCCAATCCGTTTCCTGTAAACGCAGCAGCGGTTTAGAACTGTTGGAGTTGTTGTGTGGATAGCAGAGTCCCACAGATCACGAGCGTTGATAAAAGAGCGGCAGAGAGGTCCAACATAAACAAGCAGGCAGGCAAACACGAAGGCGAACACGAAAAGGCACGTGGCCTTGGCGAACTGGGCTATCGGCGACCCACGATGACATGCAGGCTGGCTGGGCTTATCGGCGACCCACTTACATGAAGGCAGAGGCAGGAAACAGGCAGCAAAGTCAGTGAACGCTCAAGTGTGCCAAAACAGTAGGTAGAGCGTTATGACTCGTAAAACACATGGCAAATCCCAACACCCCTCCTCACGTCTTGCAGGCTACTGCGAGACGTGGACCACACAGAAGCTAATTACTTGTACGCAGTATGTAAATGTATGCAGGTAAACCGACGCCAAAAG